CCCCCCAATTATGGCGTCTACCTACGGCCCAGAATATTGCAAAGATTCAATGATGATATTTATAATATAGCATTTGTAAATTCTGAACGCTGATTGGCTAAGAGCCGTGTTGATGTAACTCATTGTCAACACAGAAAACTTCTTTCTTTATATTTCTTTGTGCTATATTCCGGGCGTCGTGTTTCCACACAATTTCTCGTTTTCCCAACTTCCACTCGTGTTCACTGGAAAACATTTTGAAAATCCATAGAAGGTCATAGAATGGAAATTGTATGGACCTTTATTGGAAATAGAATGGATTTTGGTTATCCATAATAATTGTATATTTCCATAATAACATGGTCACCCAGTCTAGAGAATACCAATTCTTAAGAACGTACGAAATCTGTCAAACGTCGCATCCGGCGCTATCCAAGGTCTGGGTTTGAAGCTTTGGGGAGATGGATCGCTACACATGTCTGGTTTGGCGATTTAGGGACTAATCAAACGGTAGACAATTTAACATCATCATTCTCATCGCACCTTACAGAAGCCATTAATCGTATATTCCCTCCTGTAACTGTGAAGTGGCATCAAACCGATAAACCCTGGATAACCCAAGTATTAAAAAACTGATTAAAGACCGACAGAAAGCATTCCATAACCATAATATCCCCCTATGGAAATCTTTAAGATATAAAGTCCAAGAGGAGATTAAGCAAAGAAAGAAATCATTTTATAAAAACAAAGTTCAGCATTTAAAAAACAATGATAGTCGTAAGTGGTGGAAAATCATTAACAAAATGTCTGGCAAACCGGAAACAACAAAGCCTTTCACCTTAGAACGTGATGGTGAAATCCTAAACAATTTACAAGCTTCCAATGCCCTTAACGAATTCTATACTTCCGTTAACGCTGATATTCCGCCATTAGATGTGAACTTATTACCACCGTTTTTACCATCAAATGAAAGCGTACCTGCAGTTGAATGTTACAAAGTCTGTAAGAAACTCCAAACTGTCCATTCTTTTAAAGCCCCCGGACCTGACAATATTTCACCTCGAATTTTAAAGGAGTATGCTCACGTGCTAGCTGAGCCGATCACCATTATTTTTAATACATCCCTTGCTTCAGGAGTTGTGCCGAGTAGTTGGAAGGAATCGAACATAGTCCCAATCCCCAAAACATGTAAACCGATTGCTGAAGCCGACACTAGGCCTATATCACTAACATCGTGCTTGTCTAAAGTTTTAGAGGATTTCGTAGTATCTTGGCTGATTGAGGATGTAAAAGAAAAAATCGACCCCAGCCAATTTGGTTGCCTGAAAGGGACATCCACCACTTTTTGCCTTCTGGATATGTTACATACTTGGCTTTCCCACCTTGACGGACTCGGTAATCATCTGCGTATTTGTTTCCTAGACTTCTCCAAGACCTTCGACCGCATTGGTTATAATCTATTAATTGAGAAACTGATAAATTTGGGTGTTAGACGCTCATTAATCCCTTGGATCATCAACTTCCTCTCAAATCGAAGGCAGCGTGTTAAATTTGACGGAGCAACCTCCAACTGGCTTCCAGTGAATGCAGGTGTTCCTCAGGGGACAAAACTAGGTCCAATCTTGTTCCTAGTAATGGTCAATAACCTGCGAATCACTTCTCCCGACACTAGAATGTGGAAATACGTAGACGACGTTTCAACCTCTGAGAGTCTTAGCAGAAATTGCACCTCTATCACTCAATCAACCCTTAATTCAGTTCAGTTGTGGGCTTCCGATAATTGGATGAAACTTAATATAAAAAAATGCAAAGAGCTTCGTGTTAATCGATAGACACCCAATTGAGACAGTGCGTTCACATAAAGTACTGGGACTCACGATCCAAAACAACCTGAAATGGGATGAACATATCCATGAAATAGTCTCGAAGGCATCCAAACGATTGCATATCCTCCGGGTGTTGCGCCGAAGTGGTATTCCTCCTGCAGACCTTCTCACTGTGTATATTGCGTTAATACGCTCAATCCTTGAATACTCTTGTGAAGTTTGGCACAACTCTATCTCATGCTATTTATCTGATAAACTTGAAAAATCCAAAAGCGAGCCTTGCGTATTGTATACCCTGAACAAACTTATAAAGATGCGTTGCTGTCGGCTGGTATCACCAAATTGGAGACTAGACGTGAAGATCTATGTTTGAAGACACTCACGAAGATAACCAGAGGTGGTCCGCTTACATAGACAACACGTGACACAGACTAGATCGAACGAGCATAATTATTTTATTAGATCATTAAATAATTTATCAACTTATAAATGTCGAACCGATCGGTTTAAAAATAGCTTTTTCCCAAATACAATTAATATCGCTAATAGTAAATAGTGACTGGTGAGACTTGATTTTAACTTTGTTCTAACAACCATTGTAAATAATCTTATATTATTATAGTATTTTAATGTAAGCACTTTGTACTTCACTTTATGTGCGAATTTGTGCTATTAAACATCATCTTATCTTAATATGGATATAGTATGGAAATAGGACAATCTCAGCTCTGGGTACGAGATTGGGAAATAGGATGGATATATATACTGTGGATTTAGTGGTGCAATTGCAAATTTCGTAGTATGGATTTCACTTTTTTTCCCAGTGCGTTGATATAACTGTATATCAAAACGGGAAATGTTTTATATTTGTTAAAACTCGATATCGATATAACTAAAATTGAATCGATGGGGATTTCCATTGGAATTTTTATACACTTATTAGACATAACCAGGAATACTGCCATACCCATACATCATATACATTGGCATTGCCTTAGTATTTATACATGAACTTGTCCTCCAGTTCTACTGCAAGGACTTGAAATCTAGTCCAATCCTAACAGTCGGATTTGAAGTATTACTGAAGTGTTAGGGAGTTTAAGCTGCGCGTTTCTGGGCAACGGCAGACAGCAGGTTCGAACTTCTTGGCAACATCTTCGTTGAACGTTTTCGTTTCATATTTTCTTTCTTGTATCGAAAAAATAATTATGCATTGCAGTTTTAAAACAACACGTTCATTTACTCTGTATTGCTTGACACCGTAAAGTTTTTCTTTGCCTTGCGTTTTTCCGTTTACCGTATAAACGCGAAGCTTAAACTCTCTATTACTTCAAGATTAAGCCTACCAAACCCACGGGTTTTTTCCCAGATATTCCTGTTTTCTCCTGTAGTAACATTGGGGGAGAAGACAGTTAAAAGAGATTAAAAAGAACAGATGGAGTTGAGAGAATATTAGTCATGTAGTTTAGCAACTAAGTGTGAAAAGCAACAAATACCTCATTTAGTAAATCGATTTTTACCCATGGTCCATATTCATCATTAGTATGAAGAAATATTCCACTTCTCTTGCCATCAACCGCGACACTTGCAGGTCCACTATGTAACTTCCAAAATGATGACATAGCAACAGTTTTTCCAAGTGCTATGT